CAAAAACAGCAGGATACACATTTTTCTCAAGTGCAAGTGGAACAATCTCCAGAATAAATCACACATTAGGACACAAAAAGATTTAGAAAGATTGAAAGGGTATCAAGCAGCTTCTCAGACCACAATGGTATGAAAAGCAAAAAACTCTACAAACACATGGAGGCTAAACAACATACTTCTAAAGAAAATCAATGGATCTAAAAACAAAGCAAAACAGAAAGAACAAAATAGCAGTAGATGCATAGACACTGAGAAGGGACAAATAGTTACCAAGGGGAAGGTGTTGGGGAGGAGGGGAACAGGTTGGGGAGAGGGGGAAGGGAATTAGGGGTACAATAATTTGCAATCACAATATAGATTGGTCATGGGGATGGTATTACAGCACAAAGAATACAATTAATGGTTCTGTAAGATCTTACTACATTGATAGATAGTGACTGCACTAGAGGGGGTGAGGATTTAATAATATGGGCAACTGTTGAACCACTGTGTTGTATATCTGAAACCAACATAAGATTGTATGTCAATGATACTTAAACAAAAAAAAATAATCAATGGATCAATGAACAAATTAAAGTAGAAATCGAGCAATACATGGAGACAAATAAAAATAAAAATACCACAGTTCAAAATTTGTGGGACAACGCAAAAGCAGTTTTAAGAGGGAAGTACATAGCAATACAGGACTATCTCAAGTAATAAGAACAATCCCCAATAAGCAGTCTAAACTCACAACCAGAGAAACTAAGAAAAGTAGAACAAATGAAACTCAAACTTAGTAGAAGGAGGGACAAAATAAAGATCAGAGCAGAAATAAAATTGAGAAGAATAAAACAATAGAAAAAAATCAATAAAACTGAGAATTGGTTCTTTGAGAAAATAAACAAAATAGACAACCCTCTAGCCAGACTTATCAGGAAAAAAAAGGATATAAACAAACAAAATCAGAAATGAAAAAGGAATAGTTACAACTGACACCACAGAAATACAAAGAATTACTAGAGAATTCTATGAAAAATTATATGCCAATAATTGGACAACTTAGAAGAAATGGATAAATTCCTAGGAAAGTACAACTTTTTAAGACTGACCCAGGAAGAAGCAGAAAATCTGAACAGACCAATTACCAGTAACAACATTGAACTGGAAATCAAAATACTCCCAACAAACAAGATTCTAGGACCAGATGGATTCACAGCTGAATTCTATGAAACTTTTAATAAGAGTTTATACCTATTCTTCTTAAAGTATTCTGAAAAGGAAAAAGGTGGGAATACTTCCAAACTCATTCTATGAGGCCAGCATCACTGCAATACCAAAACCAAAGACACCACAAAAAAGAAAATTATAGACCAATATACCTGATGAACATAGATACAAAAATCCTCAACAAAATATCAGCAAATGGAGTTCAAAATACATCAAAAGGATCATCTATCATGACCAAGTAGGTTATTCCAGGGTGTAAGGATGGTACAATATTTGCACATCAATCAATGTGATATACCACATTAACAAAAAGGATAAAAACCATTTGATCATCTAAATAGAGGCTGAAAAAGCATTTAACAAAATTCAACATCCATTCATGATAAAAATTCTCAGCAAAATGGGTACAGAGGGAATGTACCTCAACATAAGGTCATATATGTATATGACAAACCCACAGCTAACGTCATAATGACAAAAAGCTGAAAGTTTCCCTTCTAAGATTAGGAACAAGACAAGGATGTCCATCTCACCACTTTTTCAGCATAGTACTGGAATTCCTAGCCATGATAACCAGAAAAGATAGATAAAAGACATCCAAATTAGTAAGAAACAATTAAAACTGTCATTGTTTGCAGATGACATGATACCATATATAGAAAACCCAATGACTCCACAAAAAGCTATTAGAACTAATAATCGGATTCAGCAAATTTGCAGGATCAAAATTAATACACAGAAAATATGTTGCACTCCTATATACTAACAATAAACTAACAGAAAGAGAAATCAGGAAAACAATTCCATTTATAATTGCATCAAAAATAAAAAAATATCCAGGAATAAACCTAACCAAGTTGGTGAAAGACCTGTACTCTGAAAACTACATGACACTGATGAGAGAAATTAAAGAAGACACAAATGGAAATCTATCCCATGCTCATGGATAGGAAGAATTAATATTGATAGAATGGCCATCCTGTCCAAAGTAATTTCAGACTCATTACCATACCTATCAAAATACCAATGGCATTTTCAATGAACTAAAGCAAATAATCCTAAACTTTATATGGAACCACAAAAGACCCCAAATAGCCAAAGCAATACTGAGAAATAACAAAACTGAAGGGATTATGCTCCCTGATTTCAAGCTATGCTACAAAGCTACAGTAATCAAAACAGTATGGTACTGGCACAAGAACAGACCCATTGATCAATAGAACCGAACAGACAGACCAGACATAAACCCACACATATATAGCCAATAATAAATGATAAAGGAGCCATGAATGTACAATGGGGAAAAGACATCCTCTTCAATAACTGGTATTGGGTAAACTGGACAGCTGCATGGAAGAGAATGAAATGGGATTACTGTCTAAACCCATTCACAAAAGTAAACCCAAAATGGATTAAGGATGTAAATATAAGACATAGGAACATAAAACTGTTAGAAAACATAGGCAAAAATCTCTTGAACATAAGCACAAGCAATTTTTTTCTGGATATATCTCCCCTGAAAAGGGAATCAAAAACTGAACAAGTGGAATTACACTAAACCAAAAAGCTTCTATACAGCAAAAGACACCATCAACAGAACAAAAAGGCATCCTACAGTATGGGAGAATATATTAATAAATGACTTATCTGATAAGGGGTTAACATCCAAAATATATAAAGAATTCATATGCCTCAATATCAAAACCACAACTAACCCAATTAAATAATGGGCAGAGAACCCGAACAGATGTTTTTCCAAAGAAAAAATACAGATGGCCAACAGGCTCATCAGGGAAATGCAAACCAAAACCACAGTGAGATACCACCTCACACCAGTCAGAAGGGCCACTACTCAAAAGATAAGAAATAATAAGCGTTGGCTAGGATATGGAGAAAAGGGAGCCCTCCTACACTGTTGGTGGGAATGTAAATTGGTGCAGTCACTGTGGAAAGCAGTATTGAGGGTACTCAAAAAACTACAAATAGAAGTACCATATGACCCATTACCCCACTTCTAGGAATTTATCCAAAGAAAGCAAAATCCCTGATTCAAAAAGGCATATGCACCCCTATGTTTATTGCCATATTATTTACAAAGGTCAAGATATGGAAGCAATCAAAGTGTCCATCAATTGATGAATGGATAAAGAAGATGTGGTAAATATACACATATTCAGCCATAAAAATAAGAAATCCTGCCATTTGCAACAACATGCATGGACCTACAGGGTATTATGCTAAGTGAAATAAGCCAGGTGGAAACAAATACTACATGGTTTCACTTATTTGTGGAATCTAAAAACAAAACAAAACAAAATGAACAAAATAGCAGTAGACTCATAGACACTGAGAAGTGACTGGTGGTTATCATGGAGGAGTGGGTGGGTGGCTAGGTAGGGAGAGTGAGGGGGCATAAAGGGGGCACAAAAATTCTCAGTCATAATATAAGTTGGTCATGGGGATAGCAGTACAGCATGGGGAATATAGTCAATGATTCTGTAACATCTTTTCATGTTGACAGATAATAACTGCACCAGTCGGGATGAGGATTTAATAACATGGGTAACTCTTGAACCACCATGTTGTATACTTGAAACCAATATAAGATTGTATATCAACAATATTTCAATAAATTTTCCTTTTTTTCTTTTAATTCCTTATTCTATAGCTATTTCTTTTATAATAAGAACAATACAGTAAAAATTAATAAAATAAAATGTAATTAGCTTAGACTTTACATTGAAATAGTATAAAGATTAGGGAGCGAAGACTCCTAGCCTTCTCACACAATTCTGCTGATATGGTAGCTGGAATAGTCATTCTGTCACCTGCCAGGCTGCGATTGTCAAAATGATGAGTAAAACAAGACCAGAAGGTGCAGGAGGAGCAAAAAATAAAAATAAAAATATGAAATGAAAGATGTGAAAAATGAGAAAAACTTAATATACATAATTTGGAATGAAATGACAATATCCTTATAGTTTGTTAGCATATGGAGTCTTATATAGAGTAAGTACTTGAGCAAATAGTGACCAAGACTAAAAACCAACAAGGAAAGGAAATTGTCTATAACTCTTGAATACAAAAAGGGCAAAGGAAGCTCTGGATTATGAACCTAATACATTTTCTCAATAAAACGCTGATGGATTAGTTAAGTAATTTCAACATAAATTACTGAACACCACAATGGGTTAGAATTTATTGTAATAGGAGGTTTGACAGTATCCTTTTAGAAACCAGGATAAGGAATTCTGGTTTTGATTTGTCAATAAAAAAGCTTACATATTAATATATAATACTAGCATACTTGTAGTCTACATTTGACGGACATCTACATTAAGTAGATGCAAAATGTGTTCTAGGAAAAATAATTATTCACATGGCAACATAGCGAATTTGAATTGCATTAAACATTAAAAGTGTCTGAACTAGTTGTTTCTCAAAGCATTTCTATATTTAGTAACAAATTGACAATCAAACTAGGTAATTTAAAATCATGATTATTTGGCAGTTAAAAACATCCCAGTGTCTCTCAATAAACTGATATAACATTAATGTAAGTTATAATAATGGGAGATAAAATTGCATTGACTACAAATTCCACATATTATAACTTCAAATTCCACTAAGAAACTCCTCCTTTTATTATACATGCTCTGATCAAATTGCTTTACTGTCAGCTGTTTCCTCAGAAATGAAAAAAAAGCATGGAATTCTTACTGACATAAAACATTAGCTCTCTGCATACTCATTGTTTCTTGTCCTAGTCCATCTTTTAAAATTGTACTTACCCTTGGAAATGTCACTGAGTTTTTTTCTTTGAAGAATTAGTGACTTTAGAAATAGAAAGCCATTTCTCAAGCGGATCCTATGGTGTCTCACCCATGAGGATTTAGGACTGAGTAGATCCAATGAGATGTAATGGATGGCATTGTTGCTGAGGTTTAATATTTCCAAAGCGTGTAAATATTCAAGAGTGCTTAAAGTTACTTTTGGTATGAGATTGTTACTGAGGTCCAGATGTTTTATATTCCATTCTCCTTTTTTTGTGTGACACTGTAAAAGAACCCTAAAGAAACTGGAGCTTACATCGACTCTGGCTGCTGTCTGTGATATGTCCACAGGTGGATCATATTTTCCAGTAAAAGAACAAATTGTCAGAAGATATCCATTCCACTGGCACTGAGAATTGAATAAAATACTGGTTTGTCTTGATGGGTTTGTCACTGTTCCAGTAAAATAAAGACCTATAACCACTGTAATGACTCTGAAACACAGGTTTTTCATAATGCCTGGAGAAAGGAAAATGAATTAACTTATTCAAAATAACTATGTAAAAACTAACAGCAAATAAGCAGAAAATTTAATTTTCAATTTAAGATTTATTGCCTTGATTGCCAATTTAAGTGTATGTTTGATTTTTTAGAAATAGGGGCATTAAAATGTAGCTACCAAAATAGTGCAGCTGTAGCGTAAAATTAATTTGTTACATTTTAAAGAATGAACTTCCCTGATTTTTCAGAAAATGCATACTCACTTGGACCTCACCTCTGTGTCTGCTTTTCCAGGATCATTTGCGTTCCATTCTGCTTAGGAGTGAGGGAAACCTACCAAGATTGAAAATTGCCTTGCTTCCTCGCTAGTCATTAGTACTGAGCAAAGTCTATTATGCCTATCTACAACAATGTAATCAGCCATGTGGTTTATTATGTGAGTGACAAGCCAGCTAGTGACACTAAACTGTGGAACTGTATGGGTGTAAAGTTCAATTCACAGAGAAGACTCATGGTATTTTTTTAATGACTAGAAGAACTACAAGCTTTGCCTTTGTGGCTTTTGTGGCTTTTCAAATCCTTCTGAAATCATTTAGATATATACAACATAAATAAAATGGGTTACAAAAAGGATGTGTTTTGCCTCAGAACCATGAAGATGTGATAAGATATAAAAACATCAAGTACCTTTTTTGCCAAAGATTCTTGAGAAGGAATTGAAAGTTTTAAGTAAGTATCTACAAATCACAATGGCTAAATGCATACATGAAAAACAATTTTAAAAGTAAATGGATAATAAACTTCCCAAAGAATATATGCTCCCAGAAGATAAGGGCCATGTTTTCCATGCTACATACATATGTATACGCATAATATATATACTATATATATGACATATATTTATATAATTTACATTTTTTATATAATGTATATTTTTATTTTTATGAAAATATGATACAAAATTTAGACACACATATACACACTTGCTCCCTATGTTTTTTAAGTCTGCAGTCTGTAGCAGGGCTACACTCTGTTTGGATGAATGAATGCATGGAGTGAATGAAATTTACCATGTTAACTTTTAAACTTCTGTTTTATACAAGGTCATTTTTCCAGTATTTTCAAGGGTATTTAAATTCAGGTACACATGACCACAAACTGAAAAGGTGCCCTACAGTAGGAAAGGGTGATTTATTTTTGTAGTGTGCCTCTTATGCAATATCAGGAATTGAATTAATTTGTAGTCATTAAGATATTTGTTTCTATATTCAAAGCTGCATTCATTATATATACAATTATATACCAAGCTAATGTAACAATATTAGCAACAAAAAAATACAATCATTCACAGGCACATAAGTTTGTGATATTGAAGAAAAACATGTGGATGAAAAACATTTCTTAAGGGGACATAAATTAAAGATTTTCATTGACCTGGCTTTTATTTGAAGAGATTTATACATTAATTGATTTGAGTTCAAAACAGCTACATAAGGATAATCCTATATCTTAAAGTGAAAGATAATAATTTGTAAAGAAAAGCTATACATACTACAAACTTGTATGATTAGGTAAGGATCCCTTGAGAACTCCGGAAAATTTTTCTGAAAAAATTGGAAACAATTAATTAAAACGTGAATCTTTAAATGGACACGTTCAAGCTGAAGTATGAGGAAGCAATTAGAAACACTGGGTGTGCATGTGTCAGAGAGTGAAACAGAGAGAAGGCAGTAGAAAAAACATAGTAGAAGGAAAATGAAGAGTCTATTTTTACATAAAAGAAAGAGAAGTTAAAACAATTGGAAGAAAAAAAGCAGAAGGGGCTATTTTTGATAAGACTTAGAACACAATAGCAACACTGTTTGTAAGGCATACCTTATGATCCTTAGGTAGTTTTCAAATGGTGGCTGTGTGGATCAAGTCAGGTGGGGATTTTAGACCTCAGACTGAGAGGCTCCACCCATCCACCCATGGAGCCTGCCCAGTGGCAGACCTTCACCCTTCCATCTCTAGGCTCTGGATGTGCCTCTTATGCAATATCAGGAATTGAATTAATTTGTAGTCATTAAGATATTTGTTTCTATATTCAAAGCTGCATTCATTATATATACAATTATATACCAAGCTAATGTAACAATATTAGCAACAAAAAAATACAATCATTCACAGGCACATAAGTTTGTGATATTGAAGAAAAACATGTGGATGAAAAACATTTCTTAAGGGGACATAAATTAAAGATTTTCATTGACCTGGCTTTTATTTGAAGAGATTTATACATTAATTGATTTGAGTTCAAAACAGCTACATAAGGATAATCCTATATCTTAAAGTGAAAGATAATAATTTGTAAAGAAAAGCTATACATACTACAAACTTGTATGATTAGGTAAGGATCCCTTGAGAACTCCGGAAAATTTTTCTGAAAAAATTGGAAACAATTAAGTAAAACGTGAATCTTTAAATGGACACGTTCAAGCTGAAGTATGAGGAAGCAATTAGAAACACTGGGTGTGCATGTGTCAGAGAGTGAAACAGAGAGAAGGCAGTAGAAAAAACATAGTAGAAGGAAAATGAAGAGTCTATTTTTACATAAAAGAAAGAGAAGTTAAAACAATTGGAAGAAAAAAAGCAGAAGGGGCTATTTTTGATAAGACTTAGAACACAATAGCAACACTGTTTGTAAGGCATACCTTATGATCCTTAGGTAGTTTTCAAATGGTGGCTGTGTGGATCAAGTCAGGTGGGGATTTTAGACCTCAGACTGAGAGGCTCCACCCATCCACCCATGGAGCCTGCCCAGTGGCAGACCTTCACCCTTCCATCTCTAGGCTCTGGCTGCTTGCCACAGTGAGTCTGCACATTTCCTCTGGTATGCTGGAAGAAGAGCCACTGGAGAAAGGCCTTCTGCAATGGACAGAGGCTAGGACTATGCAAACTGGATGGTAGAATTTCTAACTTTGAGCTCTAGGATTCCAGAGATATTACATACATATTGATGGTTTCCGATTCTCAAGCTATATTTAAATTCATTATGTTTAAGCAGAAACCTGTTAATATTTCAACCATTGAAAAAATTAACATCAAACAATTTACAGAATCTTTATTGTAGAGGTCATTAATAGTTACTACAAACTGAATTAACTATAACTTAAGTTAGCAATCTGAAATAGATTTATAGTTTTATTTTTGTATGGCATAATTTGTAATCTTTGCCCCATCAACACTTTAAAAAATATTATTAAAATTATCAGCATTTCAGTGGTCTCTTTTTGGTCAAGTTTACCACTGCAACATTCTCACCCTCTTGATAAAACCTCATTTACGACTAGGTAGAACTCCCACCTTTCATCATCAAAACTATCACACAAAATTTGCTTTTTCATAATGCAAAAAACCCACAAATAAGAACATTTTTAATATTACAGACTGTAAATAGGTAATCCCGCATTTGTGTTGCTTTGCATTTTTCCTATCTGCCCTCTAGTCTCTAAAACATCTTGCTTTTATTTCATGTCATTGCAATCTACCTGTAACTTACTACAGTTATTCAAACAACATGAATCCCCTCCCTCTCCTTGTCATCTACCTCTCCCAAGACAGTGCTCAACACAAGGGAGGAAGAACTAGCAAAGAAAGGCAAAGTTCACATTTCAGTTTATAGAAAAATACCATCTGGTGGTGAAAATTTATAAGTGAAGCTTTCCTCTTATAGTAAAGTGAAAAAATAAGGACTACCTATAAAGTGACCTAAAATACTATACCTGTTATCTTAACAATCAGTTGCATAAAAACATCAAAATATCCTCTCAAGTCAAAAGCACTTAATGGAGATATATCAAAAAAACAAGTTATTTCACAAAGAGGAGTAAAAATAGATTGTTTCATGAATTATATTCAATAAATAATACTTGGTAACATATTGTTCTGTGGTTTTTGTAAAAATATTTAAAGAAACTTTCAAAACAAATTTAAATAAAGCAGACAAGTAATGAATGTAAAATTTAAGAATACATTGAGCATCTGAATGAAAATTCCAATGGATTTTTTCTGAATATTATTCAGATATTAAATGATACTGAATATATTCAAATAGGTTCTGAATATCACTACAACTAAGAGGTCACACATTTCACTCTTTTTCTTTTTCATTTAAAAACTGTAGTCAGTATTACATAGTAAGTCAATCTCTTAGTATATTTTAACAACTACTTATAATCTCTAAGGCATTTGGTTTCTCTATCAGAAAGAACTGTGGCAATACTGAATGCAAATTACTTTTTGTATTGATTTTCTTATCTACACAGTTCAAAGTGACCATGACAGAATACTGTTATATAGAATGCAGAGTGGGGCCAGTGATTTATCTCTACTGCCTACTTTACAGCAAACTACTTCTGTCCCTGATGTTGTGTGTGTCTTAATAATACCAGAGAGTTCAAGTATAAAATACATTAAAAATCAACTGGCTTGAGGGTTGTAAATCATTACAATGGGATGGCCTTCCCACTTCCCATTGGGTTTCTCTAAGGGCTTTGGGTATAAATATCTTGGCAACTCTTTCATCCAATTCAGGTACTCAGGTGTGCCAAGGCCCATCAGCTGGGCAACTGGTGTAACCCACAACCAGGACAATTTGACTTCTCTATAGTATAATGTTTTGGAATGGGCTTGAGATGATTTAAAATCTGACAGCAATTGGCCATTTTTTTTTTGACAAAAGATTGATTTTTTTAAAAAACTAGAATAGGCATACTAGTTTTGTTTGATTTTTACCTGCATAGATAAGTTTTAATTAGCTTTTGTTATCTTTCTACAATTTTAAATTAACTAAAACTTCAGTGCAGATAGTCAAAAGAACACAGTATTTGGAAGAAGGTATATCTAAGTTTGAATCACACCTGAATTTCAATCCTAAACTCTATTTCCTTTGTGACATTAGACAAGTTTCTTAACTTCCCTGTTCCTCAACTTCCTACTGGATAAAACTGGGAAAAATAACACCTACTTACAGAGCAGTGTTAAAAATTAGAGATACTACACATGCTATGCCTAAGATAGTGCCTAGGATATATAAGATGCTCAGTAAATGAAAGCTATTACCATTATTTAAAAGTTAAAGCTGAGATGGTTTTTAATTCCTACCACATTGTGAACACTTACTATGTATCAATACTTAACAAGTAAACATTCCATTATAGAGTATTTTCTTCCTAGTGTAAAACTAAGAAACTGTAGTTTCTTACTATTGCACATATATGAATGAAGTTAGCAAATTCACTTGCATATGAGAATATGGCTGTAAGTTGGTGCACTAAAAATCTGCCTTTTTTCTTAGAAGCTGAAGACAGAAAATGTAACATTTATTGACTGTGTACGTCTTAAACACCTTAAGTAGGTCTACCCCCATTAGTTACCAACAGTTTACTTACAGTGAGTCTATAAACAGTTGCTTCAGCCTTTATCCCTTAGCCAAGGAATAGTGAAATTTTAAAATAACTCCTTTAAGGATTAATTTTGATTTTATTCACTTCTGATAACTATTTTAGAGAATTATAATTTAAAGATCAGTGCAAACTTAATAAAATGAATTAGAATTTAGGATCTCGAAATAATTTAAATATGGAGATTGTAAAATAGATACAGTAGTTGCTCTGCAGATAAGATAATTACAAGTTATCACAAACTGTAAAAACATGATTTGCATGCATATTTAAAAAAAAGTCAAGACATGAACACACTGATGACCTCTTAGGTTCTTCTAATGAGTGTTTCCACAGGGGTTGTCTGAGATTTGGCAGCCCATGTTCTGGCCTGTCACTTGTACTTTGAAGAGAGTTCCATCAGCACACACACAGAGCTTGTAGCGCACCCAGTCACCAGGACCAAACTGGTCTCCACTGGAGGAACTAGGTAGGCGAGTTGGGCTAACCATCACAGTTCCATTTAAGATGATGCTGTTTTCCTGTTAGGAGAATGAGAATATGATTTATTTACCTCTGGAGGTGGTCACAGAACACTGTTAATAAAGAAAATTTACTGGAATATTAAGAAGAAAAGAATGCAGAAGATAGAACAAAATCATGACCAAAACAATAGAGAAAACAAATGTCAAGTGACCTCTTAGTAGTAGTTCATGATGCATATCAACATAATTGTAACAATTTATTTCCCAGTTAGTTAAAATTACATAAAAATTCCTAAGTGCACAGACTGATGTTGATAAAGTCATCAGATCATTTTCATTTGTTACTTCCTAAGAGAGTTTTGACAAAGTTAAGTTTCCGATGATGAGAAGAAAAAGACTGTTTTTCTCTTAGAGAAAATGAATTTTAATTCCCAATGTTTTTGCAACAACACAAATGAAGATTTAAACCATATAATTTTGAAGACCAGGCACTAAAGGATACTGCACGGAGGTTCTCTTCTTCAAGCCCACTGTTCCAGGAACATTCTCGTACTGTAGACTTTCTTTTCAGGAACTCCTAAACTTCTCTCTCCCTCTCTCTTTCCTTTTCTGCTTTTAATTCATTCAACAAATAATTTTTCAATGTCTACTATGTGTTAGATACTATTTTAGGTACTGGGGATATAGTGGTTAACAGATAGCAGAGGCCAAGTTCTTATACAGTTAACATTTTAATAGGGAGGGGAAGATAATAAACACATGAATGGGTAAAACAAATGGGACATCATCTGAGAAAAGTAAGTCAGGGTAAGTAGAAAGTAACCAGGCAGAGTTTCTACTTTACATAGGGTGGTCATGGAAGGCCTCTCTAAAGGTCATAGTCCAATGGAAAATGTATTAGTGAGGAAGCAAGCCATAGGGTTAACTGTGGAAGGGCACTCCAGGCAGAAAAAATAGTACATGCAAAGGCCCCAGGGAGAAGTGCCTGGTGTTCGAGGAACAGAGAGGAGGCCATTGTGGCTGAAGCAGAGAGAATGAAGGGGTTGGTTGCTAGGAGAGGAGTCAAATAAATAACCAGGGGTCAGACATGTAAAGCCAGGGAATGGACTTTGGATTTTATTCAGGTTAGATGGAAAGTGAAACAGAGAGAATGAAGGGGTTGGTTGCTAGGAGAGGAGTCAAATAAATAACCAGGGGTCAGACATGTAAAGCCAGGGAATGGACTTTGGATTTTATTCAGGTTAGATGGAAAGTGAAGACTTCTGAATGCTTCTGAATAGGGAAGTGACATGATCTTTTAAAAAGGATCACTCTGGCTGCTGTACAACTGACTACAGGGGTGAAAGAGGAAGCAGGGAGATAACTTAGGAGGCTGTTCCAACAGCACAGGTGGGAAATGACGGTGTTTTACACGGTGGTAGGGGTGGGGGTGAGAAGCAGCCAGACTCTACATCTTCTGAAGGGAGAGCCGGAAGGCTTTGCTGAAAGACTGATGGGAAACATTAACCAGAAGGGAACACTTAAAAAAAAGATGCATGTTTGGGAAGGGAGGAAATGAAGATAATGAAGATTTTAGACTTGTTAAGCTTGAGGTGCTTAATTAGCTACTGAAGTAGAGAAGGTAAGAAGGCAGTTGGATATGTGAATCTTAGTTCAGAGGAGATATTAAAGCACGAGTTCCAAATTTGAGAGCCATCAGCATATAGCAGGTATTTGCAATAATGAGAGAAAGTAGGTTATGAATGGAAATGGCTAATTGACTATGTAGTGATAATATATGGCTTAAATGTAATTCTTAAGTGATGATTTTTCAAATTTTGTTCCAATGCTGCCACCTTGTGGTAATCTACCTTCACTTTCTTTAAATTGCTAAAGGAGTTATTTTTTTAAAAGCAGTTTGATAAAATTCTTTCTAATAATTAGCTATACACTTAAAAATAACCACTAATACTACGTGAATTATAAAGCTAACTATAATACTGGCTTCTTTTTCTTTAAATGTGGAGAAACTGATACGTGTGTATGTGTATTTCAAAGTATTTTTAGTATTTGTCATTAACAGGTAGAATTTTCAGATGGAAAAAAAATTTAGGTAGCTTGCTAATAGCTATATACAAATCTATCACACATCTTGCATCTTTGAGTTTCTACTGTAGAAAATAAGAGCCCCAGTGTGACTGTTCTTCAAAACTATTCGCTCAGAGGAATGGCTTCTTACTGTAATACATATATAAAAAAGACTCAGTATTACTACTGAGTTTCTGGCAAGAGTCACATTTTATGTCCACATTTATTCTGTAGAGATTGGAATATGTGCATTAAGGGGGAAAAGTTGTTTATGAAATTGAAAACATTTAATTTTTTAAAGTTTATTTTATCTAAGAACTATGAAATACAATTTTTAAAAAAGAAAGAATTATTTTATAAGTCCTTAAATTTAAGTTCCCTTGTGTCATTTAAACTTGGTAAAACAAATTTAATTAGCTTTAGTTAAGTAGCATATAGCAGGTGCCAAAAGACATTTTGAATAAGTGTACTTTGAGAAGAATTGTGAGCAGGTAAACATTTTGGGACTTACGGTTCCTTTATATCAGATATGTTGCCTACTAAAGTTCAGATATAATTTGTGAAGCACAAGGAAAATTTTACTTTTCAGCAGATAAAATAAAGGCAGAATCTTTTTCCTTTACAGTTAATAATAGGTGTATAAATGAAAATACATTTTAAATATTTGCTAATTGATTCATATCACTGGATATAAAACCCAGGAAGGGATAAGAAAAATCTTTAACTGAAAAAAGCCCAACAACTTTGGTGAATGGATACATACTTTGATCTCCCAAAATTCTTTTGGGAAGTTTTCTGTTCTGCCTTTTAAGATAATACAGATAATATTATGAAGAAAAGAAATCTACAAAATAACAGGCAAACAGAAGTAGAACTAAAACTAAAACAATCTGTTACACTACCCATAGTTAACCATTGTTGTTGACATTTTGGTATACCATTCCAGGTTTTTATAAACATATTTATGTTCTGAAAAATAAAAATTAGGTATTTCAAAATTGTTTTATAACTTTCACCTCATACTTCATTTTGAACATCTTTCCTTATCAAAAACATACAACTACATACCATTTAAAATAATCATATACTACTCCACACATGGATTTACATATCCAAGAATCTAATAATTATCTTAAATTCTTAAAAAATACTTACTGCCTTTAACTCCATGTTACCACCCATGTGAAATTCAATGGTTTTGCCCATAATGAACACGCCTTCATTTCCACGCACAATAGCACGCCCATCAACTTTTATATTTAGATCACTAGTAGCATTGCTGGTAATCTGAAAATTGGAAAAAAAAAAGTAGTGAAAACAGTTTCTAAATTAAAGTGAGAATTGTTATTAGCAAAAGAGGAATAGGAGTTTCAACCAAGAAATATGAAAAGCAAATGCTTTCATTCATGTTTTATAGATGTTGAGATAAAGAAGGCTGACTTGAAAATGATCACATAAACTAGTTAATGACAAATCTAGAACTTACCCTTTCCACTGTTCTGGAATTTATTTCTTCATACCATAAAACAGTAAACTCCCCTCCCACTTTGTAACTTTCAACAATAATTCTCTTCCATTAATAAAGCAAAGAAAATATATCATACCCTTTCAGTAGATGCTTTTTGAACATTCAAGCTTTTCACTCCACTTGGCAAATGAAACTCATGAGTTTCATAGTCTGTGCTGAATAAGATATTTTGAGTCCTTGGGTCAAAAAACTGCATACCAATGTCACTTGTAATAGAAGTTTTGTTCTTTTCTACACTGAGCTTTGTTGTCCCTTGCTGGAAAACAATCTTCAGAAAAACACTTTATCATGAATATGTTATCAAAGACTGCATCCAAAATTCATAAGAATACTATAAAAGACATTGTATATAATAATAAACTTCAAATAATTTTAACTGTCTCTCTTCCCTCCACCCACTTGGGAGAGGTGGCATACAGCAGCCCCTTTAAAACGAGGGCTTATATTCTTATTTGTTTATACTGCTCTGAACAAATACACAGGTTACAAGCAGGCTCAAGGACTTAGGCCTAAGGTGGGTAGGGGGAAGGCACAGCAAGAATACCTCCTTGGGGTTCCAGTCAGTTCAAAACCTATATTATAGCAGCCACTTAGCATGGGCTGCCATAGACTAGATTAGCATATTATCTACCAGACTTCAAGAATGTAGAGAGTATTCTAACCTGCAAAGGTGCTTTTTTAAATGGTTTGCTCATATGGAGGAGAAAAGAGTAAACTGTTTTTAGCTTAAAATTTTTTAAAAATTAAAAATTTTTAAATTAAAAAAAATTTGGTTTAAAACTATTCTTTTAGTAATTATATGTATCATAAAAAATACTACCATGGAACAAAATCTAGAATATTAAGAAAACATCTAACATTAATAGATTATAAGACCAGTGAATTATTTATTAAATTATTAAACATATATATAAATTCTCTAAAGGAAAATACCCATTTCTAATAATCAACTCTAGGTTTTTACCAACACTTGTTTTCTAACATCCCTCAATTAATATGGTAACTTACAGGCTGGTTATTGCCAGTGATGACCAAATTTTCATTTCGCCTTCCTCCTACTGTGCTCTTATAAAGAGGATGTATAACTCCCATGTCAGACACTTGCTTAAATCGAAGCAGACCACTTTCATGGAACTCCATGCTGTCACAGCCATTTGGTCCAATGCGAATCACAGCCCAGATAACAAGTGTTATCTAAAAGATAAAACAAGTTCACTGTTAATAGGCAGCATACATTTCACACAATTGAAAAAAAACAAAAAAGATAATTGCCAAAGGATTAAACTTCCTAAAATGTTTCATCAGTGAGGTGAACATATCAATTGATTTTTCCACTTATGAGCAAAACCAGTTTTATTTCTAACAAGGTATTACATGCAAATAGGTAAAAGTCACAAGTGCTAAAAGATCTACAATAAAAAAGGAAGTTTCTTATCTTTTCTACTCCCTCAATATCTCTTTCAGGGACAACCACTTTCAACAATGCTAGGTATTCATTTAACATTCATCTTCACATTTCTAAATATGTATATTGTCTTCACTTATCAATTTTGGGTTTTATCTATTAACTTATCTAATTTACATATTCATTTTCTATTTTAGCAGATGAGAATTTTAGCTCATTTACATTACTTCTCCCCCAACTCCAGTCTCAAGTTTCACTTAAATCCATGGTCAATATTTTCAGTATTACAACCATATACATACTGCTCACTGCTACCATGGAACAAAATACTGTATCATGGAGGCACTTCATTTCCTGTGCTTTGTGTCTCTCAGAATAATATTTGTCTTTTTCATTTGCTTATTAGTTCCTTTGAAAATCTGACTAAATTTATTCAAATCCTCTAACATTTCTGTAAAATGTCACTCAGTAAATGTTCTAAACATTCAAACCTCTCAGGTAATTTATCAGTTCTATTCCCTTCTCTCAGGAAATCCTTTTGGAGTCCCTATCTTCTTGTTCTAGTGTGGACCTTCTCCCTCTGGCAACAGTCTGCTTAACAGCTATAATCATGGACTTTTCCTTCACTTTCTTGCTGGAATTTCCTTTTGTCGTTCCCTGGTGCTAGATACCCAGCTTCCTGGGTCCTTGTCTTCAACTTTCTTGGTTTAGTACCTTCTTTTGGGGAGTACATCCTCCAGCAGCTTCCTTAGAAAGAAGCATGTGAAGTAAATGTTTTTTGAGAATTTGTGTGGCTGAAAAAATGTCTTGATAATCCCTCACATTTGATTAGTAGTCTAGTTTTGTATAGATCTCTAGATTTGAAATTATTTTCTCTCTCAATTTTGAAGGCCCTTGCTTTCTAATTTCCTTCTGAGAGGTCTGATGTCACTGTTACTTCGTATTCTTTATATGTAACATGCTTTTTTCCTCTGGAAGATTTTAGGATCTTTATTCCTGGCTTTCTTAAATTTCACAGTAATGGCCTTGGTGTGAGTCTTTTTTATGCATAATGCTGGACCTCAAATGGTAGCTTTCAATTTGTTCTAGGAAATTTTCTTTCTTTATTTCAGAGTTCTCCCCAGTGTGCTCTTTTTCTCTGAAACTCATATTAACAGAACATTATAGTTTCTTGATTGGTTCTTCAATTGTGTTGAATTTTCTGGAAGAGTTCCTTTTCTTCACCGTCTAGTATCTATTTTATCCATCCATCCATCCTTCCATCCATCCCTATGTATATATTTCTATGAGTTCTTCCTTATCCTTTTTAATGGCAGGTTATTCTTGTTTCGTGAATGCAATATTCTCTTATTTCTCTGATGATTTTAGTTTTTGGTTTTAAAGTTTTCTATCATTTGTTGTATTTTCTCTATCTCCCTGAATTCCTACTTTTCCCATGTTTTGGGTGTTTTTGGTCTCTATCATTTTTCAATTCCTGGAACTTTAAAAAATAAAATTGATTGATCCCTGGTGGCTCAGTGCTCATATTTAACAGTAAAATAGTAAGAAGTCCATAGAAAGTTCTCTATGTGAGGTGGGGCTTGTGATTGACAGGCTCCACAGTAGGGAGATTAGGTGGGACCTGACAAGTGTCATATCTATAGGTCTTTTCTCTAGGTGCTTCAGTTTCTTCAGAGAAGGCTGTTCTTGTCTTTCTCCACCTGGCTTATTTTAACTCCTGCATGGGGAAAATAAGCCTGATGACAGGGAGCTGGAAGGGGAGAATGAGGATAAGAGTCTCAGTGCTCAAGATTCAGACTTCCTGCTTTGAGTATAGAAATCCATCACTCCCCTCCCCTGGGTACTCTCCTGAGGCAGAAAAGAATCCTCTCTGGTGCCCTGTGTCCAAAGACACACTATTTTTACATGAGGTTATGAGGGGTAGTTGCCTAACTGCTGGCTGGAAGAGGAAGGCTAGGAATCTCATGGCTTTCCATAGAATTTTCTCAGTTCCTGCCTCTCTCCTGCTTTTCAAGGTGCTTGTACTTCTAGTTCCTGAGGATTCTACAAGGCATTTCACCAACAAACCCTGCAGACCTCTCACCAACACACGTGAGCAGTTTCTCTTCTCTGGTAAGCTATTTGCCATTCCTCCTCCTCCTTTTTTTGTCTTCATAGATTATGGCTTAGGATTTTGATTGCCTCCCATTTTCTTCTAAGACATTTCTGTTTATTGATATTGTCACCTAGGGATGGGCTTTTGAGAGAAGAAAGGGATGAAAATGTCTTCATTCTGCCATCTTAACCAGGGTTTCCAATGAAATAAATTTATAAAATAAAATAAATTCACAACATGTGTTTCTAGTTAAGCTCTTATCGATTTTAGTACAGATTTGGAAAATGAGATTAGAAGACTAAAGGACTGGCTTGAGGGTATCAGATGTCAAAAATCAAGTAAATGGAATCACTTTAGAACTGCTGCACTCCATGTTTATGAACAGTCTTAAGTATACCAATCAATAATCACTTTCTGAAAATATCTGTCCACAAACATGCCAGAGAGTTTCAAATTTAACTCTCAGGTAGTTATAACCTTGGATTAAAAATCTTCTTTAAAAAAGCAAATATCATTGGAAAAGACAACGTAAAAGGTCCTCAACATCTTAGTGTAAACCAGCCTACTGGATCCTTTCATTCTTTGACAACAGAGATTTAACACTACAAAATATAACCCTGTACTGCCATCCAAGGGTTGGAAATTTTTAAACCTAGCTGGGGAAGCAAGACTAAATGCAGGAAAAAGTTGAATGAAAATAAGAATAATTGCATTTTTTAGAAAAGATGAAGGGAATAAATTCATCTTGGCAAAGGTCTCTCTATTGAGTTGACCTTTTAAAAGTTAAGTCCTTAAAAGGGAAGAATCAATGAACATTTCTTTCTAAATAAAACTCGTATGAGCATACTGGGGTTTAGGCCCCCTTTTTTTAATTTTGGTATCATTAATATACAATTACATGAGCAATATTGTGGTTACTAGATTCCCATTATCAAGTCTTCACCACATACCGCATTACAGTCACTGTCCATCAGCATAGTAAGATGCCATAGAGTCACTACTTGTCTTCTCTGTGCTACAGTGTCTTCCCCATGCCCCCACACACATTCTGTGTGCTAATTGTAATGTCCCTTATTCCCCTTCTCCCACCCTTCCCACCTCCAACTCCCCTAACCCCCCAGACATTTTCCCTTTGGCAACTGTTAGTCCATTCTTGGGTTCTGTCAATCTGCTGCTGTTTTGTTCCTTCCATTTTTGCTTTGTTCTTATGCTCCACAGATGAGTGACATCATTTGGTACTTGTCTTTCTCCACCTGGCTTATTTCACTGAGCATAATACCCTCTAGCTCCACCCATGTTGTTGCAAATGGTAGGATTTGTTTTTTTTATGGCTGAATATTCCATTGTGTATATGTACCACATCTTCTTTATCCATTCATCTACTGATGGACACTTAGGTTGCTTCCATTTCATGGCTATTGTAAATAGTGCTGTGATAAACATAGGGGGCATATGTCTTTTTGAATCTGGGATTCTGTATTTAGGATAAATTCCCAGGAGTGGAATTCCTGGGTCAAATGGTATTTCTATTTTTAGTTTTTTGAGGAACCTCCATACTGCTTTCCACAATGGTTGAATTATTTTACATTCCCACCAGCAGTGGAGGGTTCCCCTTTCTCCACATCCTCGCCAGCATTTGTTGTTGTTTTTCTTTTGGATGTAGGCCATCGTAATTGGTGTGAGGAGATACTCATTGTGTTTTTAATTTGCATTTCCCTGATAATTAGCAATGTGGAGCATCTTTTCATGTGCCTGTTGGCGATATGAATTTTTTCTTTGGAGAAATGTCTGTTTATATCCTCTGCCCATTTTTTAATAGGGTTATTTGCTTTTTGCATGTTAAGGCATGTGAGTTCTTCATATATTTTGGATATTAATTCCTTGTCAGATATGTCATTTGCAAAAATATTCTCCCATACTGTACAATGCCTTTTTGTTCTGCTGATGGTGTCCTTTGCTGTACAGAAGCTTTTTAGAACAATGTAGTCCCATTTGTTCAGTTTTTATTTTGTTTCCTTTGCCTGAGGAGATGCATTCAGGAAAATGTTGCTCATGTTTATATTCAAGAGATTTTTGCCTATGTTTTCTTCTAAGTTTTATGGTTTCATGACTTATATTCAGGTCTTTGATCCATTTCAAGTTTACTTTTGTGTGTGGGGTTAGACTAATCCAGTTTCATTCTCTTGCATATAGCTGTCCAGTTTTGCAACACCAGCTACTGAAAAGGCTGTCATTTCCCCATTGTATATCCATGGCTCCTTTATTGTATATTAATTAACCATATATGCTTGGGTTTATATCTGGGCTCTCTAGTCTGTTCCATTGGTCTATGGGTCTGTTCTTGTGCCAGTAACAAATTGTCTTGATTACTGTGGCTTTGTAGTAGAGCTTGAAGTCAGGGAGCATAATCCCCCCAGCTTTATTCTTCTTTCTCAAGATTGCATTGGCTATTCTGGGTCTTTTATGGTTCCATATGAATTTTAGAACTATTTGCTCTAGTTTGTTGAATAATGCTATTGGTACTTTGATAGGGATTATATGTTTTTTAATATATAAAATATTCACTAAAACTCAGAAAGAGATTAAAACATATATAGAAAAACAGAAAGCGGGCATTGAAAGATATTACAGAACCAAAGTCCATGATTTCACTGAAAAATAGATGAAAAATTCCCCACAGTAATTAAGAAAAGAAATATTCTGTACCATATACTCACAATTAAATTGATAACAGCCAGAATAAACAAGAGGATAATAACACAGATGGCTAAATTGCCCTTTCTCCCTCTCAGTCCTGTTTTATGGAGGCGATCTTCATCAATTGGAATATATCCAGCTTTAAAGTTACTGTTGTGCTCTTTATTGATATTCCTTCTCTCAACAGCCTTCTCCCGCATGGACTTCTTTACAGGACCATTGGAACTTTGCTAAAAACAAAATATAACACAATGGAACAGCTACAGTCACTTTTTTGATGCATTTATTAAGTATAGATTCATAACTAAAGTAAGATGAATTGGTTAGTGATACATTTTCCACTAATAAATTTCAAGTCACATTGAGTTATAGGGTCCAAGTAAAGACATACCAAGCTCAGGGGGGTAGTTGAGAAGAACCTTCAGTGTGACTATGGTAACATAGTCACACTTTCTGCTTTGATTAGTCCCACTGTCAGTAAAGTGTACAGCTAGCTCACTTGGGGAAAGCACTGACATATGTATTCTACAGTGGGTAATCTTGTTTTTATTAATGATTTATAATGACTTGTTTAAGTATATATTTATTTCATTTACATGAAAAGAAGTTGGAAAGGCTGACTGACACACTTTGTAATTTATCACTCCAATTGACCAAAGCTAACATTACCCTAGACCAGTAATTTCCAGTGTAGATGTTGGACAACCCTGGAGGTATCTGCTGAACCCTTGCATGTGGCTGGAGGGTGAAAAACTATTTTCAAAATAATGTAACACTAAGGTGCTATTTTCCTTTTTTAACTCTCTTTCTCTCACGAATGTGCAGAGTTTTCCAGAGGCTATAAACCATATGTTATGATATCATTGCTTTAAGAGCTAATGGGATGTGTGAATGTGTATTCCTGTTAAAAATTATGTTTTAATTTCTAATATGGCACATATCCACAGATATAACCGTCATAAACAAAAGCTCTCTGGGATCCTCCATAATTTATAAGAGTATAAAAAGAAACTAAAACTAGAGATATAGATTTGGGAGGGATGAGAACAAAGAGCCAAGGAAACCAAACGTGCAGGACCAGTGGAAAATGAGATGTACAGTGAATGGTAAGAAAACCAAGGATGTTCAGTGTTGCTGAACTTGATTTGTCATGAAATGTTTCCATAACCTTCAACAATGAACTATGAATAGCAATTTTGAGTAGCAACTGATAAGCAGAAAAATAGCATCAAAAAGTTGCCAGCATGTATACATATATTTCAAGGCCAGAGGTGGAACAAGGAAAGACTGTAGCTGAAGAATTAGGTGCTGTCAGAGGAAAACTGTGTTTGCTATTGTTAGTGTATCCATTCCCCAACACCCCCAATTTGGAGTAAGACTTGTAGGTTTGATGGTAGAGGGAAAGATGCCAAGAGGGACAAAGATTAAAGATCTCAGAGTAAGGCATAATGTGGGGAACGAGACCATACAGGAGGCAGGAAATAAAGTGGTATAGCGTATAGGAGAAAAGGAGTGTTAAAGGGGGGGCTCCTGCTTCACTGAAGTGGTTCACACCAAGAAGTGAAAACATTCTTCTTTGACCTAGGGATGTAAAAGGTCATCTGCCAAGAGAGGGCTTCTGCAATCTTACCATGGTGGCAGAGGAAGCAGGCTGTTTAATAGCTTATGGAAAACAGAAAAAGACGAGAATAAACCTTGTAATATAGCAGATAAAAATTTTAAATTTGACAAAGCAGTAAGGAAGGCTCTGTATTAGATAATTCAATATATATTTTTTTAAAATCACAGAACAGGATGTTGATTACAATTGTGTAGGTGGTATCTGAATGAGATGCAGCATTTATGAGAGTGAATTGATACTGCAGACATTCCAGAGATGGAGATACATTTTGATAGTTTTTCAGCCAAAGGCAGTAAAATACCTGAAGGGAGGCATACTTTCTTCTAATTTTCAGACATAGTTTGGGTGTGTGACAGCACTCATGTATGACCTATTTAAAGGTCTTGGCCAGTCTGAATATAGGTCTACACAAAAGACAAAGCAAAATTTATCCCTCCTGGGATGCATTCTTTACTCCTCTCTGCCAATTCATACACATTATTACATTCAATTTGATGTATTTATCATTTATTGAAGAGTTACTATATGCCAGATGTGTCAGAACACCATGATGAGCAAGACATAACATCTACCATCAGTGAACTTACAGGTCACTAGAGTAGATCGACAGGGTCACGAACATCACAGTCCAGTGGGGCAAATGCTGCCGCGGAGCAATGCATCCAATACTGAGAGTCCAGACAAAGAATGCTGTTCTACTTAGTGAGAAGGGCATCAGCCAAAGGTTTTTAAGAAAAGCTGAGCTTTCATTTGAGTCTTTAAGCATAAGGAAGAGTTGCCAGGCAAAAGTGCAGAGAAAGAGATTCCAGGCAGAGGGAACAGCAGGACACTTTCAGTGCCAGGCATCTCTGGATGAACTAATTTTGCTAGCTTTGTATGGATGATGAGGAAGATGAGTATAAGAGAGGGGCAAAAATGAGGTGTGAGATGTGGTTAGGGGTCAGTAAATGAATGGATGTAAATGCCACGTCAAGAGCGATGGACTTTATCCTGAAGGCAATGGGGAACTACTGAAGATTCAAAATAGGTTAGTGACACAAACAGACTTGCATTACAGCAAAATCAAACCAAAAAGAGATGAACTGGAATAGAAGAATTTACAGAGGAAGATAGCAACAGCAGGTTTGACTCAGTCAAACGAGGGCTTGACTGACCTTTGTTTGGCACTGGAGATGAAGAGAAGATTGGGGAGAGGCATTATGAGGTAGAATTGGCAGGACCTGGTAATTGATTGGATGCGAGTGTGACATAGAGATGAGTCCCAAGTAGGACCTGCTACAAAATCTGTGGGGTCTGGAGCAAAGAGAAAATATGGGGCATTGTGTTCAAATGTGTTCAGATATCAAGCCTGGGACAGCAGAGCAAGACCCTTCTAGACTCCCTTAAGCTACCCCTGCTCCCAAGTTTCTGGCTAGGTTAACAAATGAATGGATAGTTGCAGCTCTTTTAATGGTGAAAGATGCAATCTGTTTTGAACATCTTTGAGTTTTGTGTGCCTGTGGAAAATTCAGTTAAGTTCAGGCTGGAGACATATATGCCAAACTCTGAAGTGGAGATTAAGGAATAGATCAGATCACCCAGTTTATGTGTAAGGCAAGAACAGAACCTTGGTGGGACCTCAAGAGAATCAACAGGTGATACAGATGAAAAAAGAATCATCTAAAACAAGAGCTGATAAATCAGGAAAGTGAAGGAACAATTTTACTATCAACAACTCCAATAAGTTTTGTGTCCTTTCACTTTCACTCATCTTTTCAGATTTTATTTTAATTATGATCTATAGCTTTCCTATTGTCTTTAGCTGATTTTTCTGCATTTATTTGGCAGTCTGATTTTAAGCTCATGTCATCTATTTTTGATGTCCCTTAGAATGATTGACCAGTGATATATAGCTAGTAGGTACCTAAAAGCAGTTAATAACCTAAGAAAATATTTTCTGGAAACATTTTCTGGAGACAGAATGTTGGCAACTTGACTTATTTATTTTTTCAACAATGTTGAAGAATTAGACTTTTTCAAAAGAAACTATCGTAGGTTTTTTTTTTAAGGGAAATAAGGGGGAAAGCAACTATGAAAATTATTTTTATTGCAACAAATCACCCTAATAACTATAAATATGCATATGCATATATATATGTATGTATGTATGTACGTATGCACATGTATGGTTTGCTTTTGGGGGAAAACAGGCTTTTAAACAATTCCAAGTTCCAAGTTTACAATGCAGATCGGAAAATACTTCATAAAGCATTTTAAAAAAAGGATTTTAAACCATTTAGACAGGAGACAGTTTTATATGGGTAACCAAATCTCCAAAAAAAATAAAGCGGAGGAGAAACTTAGATGTCTGCATATCCGGGATGGCAGAATAAGAAGTGCCGCAAGCTGACACCAGGCAACAGCTGACTGTTTCTTGGCTGCTGCCTGGGAAGCCTCGCGGCTCCGGGGCCGAGGTTATTTTTACCCGCATCTCCGCTGGCCACTGAGCGGGGCACGTCCCGGAGTCGGCTCCCGGCTGCCACGGCCGCCTCCCGGCCTCCCAGGACAGCAGCCCCTCCTCACTCTAACAGGGGACTGCCAGGCCAGACCGAGGGCCGCGGCTTGCTCCCCATCCTCGGCCCCGAAGCCCCTGCACCGTCCCGCTCGGCCTGGCCAGCATCGCGGGCTGCGTACAGCTCATCGCGCGCTGTCCCGCCGAGCCCGGCACCGGCGGCCCTCGCGGCCCTGTCCCTGCCCGCCGGCCTACGACGCGCCCCACCCGCAGGCCCCCCAGCCTCTCCTGGCCCTCCAGCTCCCGGCCGCTGCGGGGCCCTCAGACCTGCTCTGCAGCCGCCGCCGCCGCCGCTGCCGCCGCCATCTTCGCGCGCCCAGCCTCACCGCCCTTCTCGCCGCGGCTGCACCTCTCGCGCCTGCGCCTGCGCCCGAGCCCTGGCGACGTGGGAGGGGGACCGCGACGTTCACGCCCCCCAACCCCGCCCGGGACGGAATCACAGCCCTCCCGGGCTCCGCGCTTCTGTCGGGCGGATCGGCACCCGGGACGGTGGCCTCGGGGCGCGTTTCCCGCGCACGTGGACTCCGCGCCACCTGGGCCGCCGCTGGAGTCTCCGAAAGGGCACCCTCCAAATACAGGGACGCCTCTCCCTGTGCCCTCCATTCCCCATCCCTGAGGGCTGGTGTGGCCCCGAGCGGGGATGTGCTACCCGCTTTCCGGGGTTGGGAGGTGGGGGGCCGTGGGGGAGGGCCGTTTTAGGACGCGTGGACGAGGGCGGTGGGGGTGGCAATGTGGTCAGAAGTTAACAAGTTGCCAATTAGCCAGTTAAAATCTTGGAAACGAAGAGTCCTTGAGGACATCAAATCACTAAAGGGATGCTTATTTGTAGGGCTTAGGATGCTTTTTCTGTGGTGTTGGTGTGGATTTTCCAATTAGTATTCGAGGTAGTGTCGATGTACGCCCTGGAGAACCTAATTTAACAGATATTTACTACACACCAGGAAGCCACCCAAGTGTACAAGTAACATGAGTACACTTGTTCCCTGTGGTCAGTATGATCCCCAAATCCTCTTTAAAAAAAAAATGCAGTGAGTGAGGCAGTAGCAACCAAAGTACAGGAACTGTTTCCTTTCTAGAAGCTGAAACCACCTCTAGTAAGCCACCTGTGACCAGCTGGTTAAACTTTATTTCTCTAGGAACTAGGAACTAGGTCACTTTTGCTTTTTGATGACTGGAACCATTATTTCACTGCTCTGCCTACTTAACATCAGAGGATTTGGCATGAAGTTTACACTGGATAATCTGTCGCATAATAAACTCATGAGCTTTTCCCTTCTTTCCCCTGATTTTGGCTAATGGCACTATCCAGTTGGTTATGGATCTCTGCAGACTGTTCCCAAATGCTAGAACCATTTGACTCACATCTCTAGGCTCACTCCTGCCCATATTCTAGAGCAAACTTAGGCAGGAAGACTAATTTACAGCCCAGTGCTTTGAGAGTCATCATTAAGTCTCTGTTAATAGTCTAGCTCTGGTCCTGTTTATCAACTCAGATAACTAGGCTTTCGACTGATCCTCAGTCTCTGTGTCCAGTTCTGGTACCATGGTCCTTGCTTTCAATACTTTATGTCTTCTTCTTCTGCTTGGAAAGTCCGCTTTTTCTCTCACAATCACACTCTTATTCATCCTCCAAGAATCCATTCAAATGACACATTCTCTCTAAAGCCTTCCCAGGTTCCCACAGGCTGTTTAGCAGGTCTGTCCCCTTAACTCTACTAGTCTTTTGTAGAGCTTTCTATTACACTGTGTTTTATCTTGTTTGCCTGCCTGACATCATCTAGAAGATGGTGTGCCCTGTCTGGAAGGTCCATGTCTTAACCTGTGCTTTTACCCGAATACCTAGCATAGTAATGAATTTAATAAATATCTTATAGACATCTGCCTGATATCCCAGTTTCTAAGGTTAAAGGTCCTGCCTCACCAACTTAGGTGGTAAGATGCCTGATAACTGATTTTCCTGAGGCCAGTGTCCCTTTGGCTGTCTGAAACATCACCTCTTGGATTGCTACTTGTTGATCTCCATCTCTATGACAGGACACCTCACTGTGATTCTTGATGCCAATTGCTATAGTCTTTAAAGAGATTCACATGACCACATCTTTAATGTGGGTCATTCCCAAATACATTATCTTCAAACTTTTTTCTGAAATAATATTTTGAGTCTGCTGTGTACCTGGTAATGCTCTTTAATTCTCCCAACAGTGTAATGAGATAGGTCCTATTATCCCCATTTTACAAGTGAAAAAATAAAAAATCATAGAGGTGACAAGGCTAACCAAGTTTTCAGTTAATAGCCAGGACTGAACCTAGGTCCATCTGCCTAAAGTCTTTGTTCTTTCTACCATATAAAAAAGTCTTTAATTCTACATTTCCTTTGCCTGTTTTATATTATTAGCATTTAGAAGTGCCAGCCAAGGCTAGAGTACTAGTTAGGTTATGAAAACAGTTATCCCTTCATTCACTTTATAGTGGGTTGAATAATGTTGCTTCCCAAAAGATACATCCAAGTTCTAATCCTTGGTACCCGTGAATGTGATGATATTTGGAAATATCATCAAAAAGCTCTTTGCAGATACTAGTTAAATATCTCAAGATGAGATCACCCAGGATTTAGGGTGGACCCTAAATCTAATGAGTGGTGTCCTTAAAAGAAGAAGAGGACAGAGATACAGAGAAGATAATGTGAAAACAGAGGTGGAGATTGGAGTAATTTACAAGTCAAGGAATGCCAAGACTTGTGGCCAGAAGCTAGGAGAGAGGCATGGAACAGATTTGACCTTGGAGCTTTCAAAAGGAACTAATACTACTTATTTTGACTTCTAACCTCCTGAGCTGTGATAGAATAAGTTTCTGTTGTTTGAAGCCACTAAATTTATAGTAATTTGTTATGGCAGCCCTTAGGAAACTAATATGTACTTCAAGCTCAACACACTGAGCTCAAAATCTTTCCCACCAATCTGCTCTTCATGTATTCCCCTGGTGAGTAACACCACCATCCAGTCAGAAATCTGATCATTTTATACTATTTTTAGTGTGGTCTTCTAAAATATTCATTTGATTATGTCATCTTCACCCTGAAGTTTAAAAGCCTCCAATAACTTTCATGATAAAAATTAAACTCCTTATATTAGCACATAAGGTCCTTTACTTTTTGGTTACTATCTACCTCTTTTTAGTCTCATTCCCTGCCACTTCAACAAACTCATCCTTCACTCCAGCCATGTGCAATATTTGCACTGCCCAGCTGCTTGCCTAAATACACCACCTTCTTAAAGTCTTTGTGCTGTTGCATGGGGATACTTTCTTTTTTAGCTAGCTAGTCCCCCACCTGTCCACCAAAACTCAGCTCAAGGGATATCACTTCTGGGAAACCCTTCTTAATCTCTCTTCTCATCATAAATTTTGGACTTCTGCACTCGTCTCTGTGAACCTCAAGCATGCCTCTACTGTAAAAATAATTCTTCCACACTGAAATTTATTTACTTGCCCATCTTTACTTTGTCTTGTCTATGAATTAGTATCTCCCCAGTTCCACCCACCTTTAAGGACCAAGCTCAGTCTCACCTTCTCCTAACAATTACAGCCAATCATTATTGGTCTCTCTTTTTAACTATTGTTGCACCAATTTGCTATGACAGCCATTTGATCCTTAATAACACATTAACCTGTGTTGTTTCACCTTTCATGCATATACAGTTTGCTGAGTAGACTAAGGTCATTACAAAGCAAGGGCAGTGTTTTACTACTTCTATGTTGCTCCAAGTCCTGAACATATTAGGAACCAAGTAAACAATATGTATTTAGTAATTTTGATGAGTGAATATTGGATTAATTTTTTCTATTGGGTAAAAAATATTACTAGCACCTAAGTGTCTCTGACATGTGTACATTCTAATGTTCACCACGCATTACCCCACAGAAAATCCTCATTAACTCTTATCTCTGTATCTGCTAAGTGCTTTTCCTGGGTCCAGTCCTACACATTCCAAACTTGGCCTCTAAGAGTTCTGACGTGATATAAAAAAGAGACTCAAACATACCATTTTTGCTTTTTACAGACCTTTGCTTCTTCTCATTGCCTACAAAATAATGATCTATTTCTTTAGTCTGATAGACAAGATGCATCCTAACTGAACCCAGGACTCTCTTTCCAGTCTTGTCTCTGATTTGCTGAATACATCATAGGCATACTGGACTCACATATTCACCATTCCTTGACTCTCCATGCAATTTTGTGCCTCTTTGCTACTGTCCATCTGTTCTATTGCCCTTCCCTTCCTGGTAAACTCCTCTCCATCTTTCCAGGTCTGGCTCTAAAGTCACTTTCCTCCATAATTTACCCTGATCCTTTCTTCAGAGGGATGGAGAAGGAGGTAAGGGAATGGTCACTGTTTCCATAGAATTTTTTATCTGTTGTTGTAACTTGTCCCATTGAATTATGGTTGCATATCTTTCTCCTGAACACATTGTGAGATGCTAGGGAGCAGGGACTGAGTCTCATTTTGCCTTATAGTTAAGGCAGATGTTTCTGTCACACTAGAATGTCAGTAAATGTCCATCAAATATGCTGAAAAGATGTATTTCAACACCTTTCATCCTAGGGACTGCCCTCAAGCTTAAGGCTATCTTACAATGTAGATTATACCCACTGTGCAGCACTAACACGTCTTGCTCTCACCCCTCTGGTGGCCATTTTCACAGAGCCAGGTATTTGCCATTGCATTTAGCTAGCAGAGCTGAAAAAATGGAGGGTAAAGATTCCTTAATCTTCCATCACAATAATGATGGAAGTTAAGATAGGAGGGGTATCTTGCAGCCCTCAAAAGTCACACTCAATCTACTTTTTTTCCCTTTCTAATCTATTGTTGTCATAAATATTCTTAATTTGGTGCTAAGGTGATACAATTGTGGTGTATTAAGATTTTCCTGTTGTTTTTTAGTTTAACCAATAGCTGGCATGAAATAATTTTGCAGAAAAATTCTGAACTGATGATGTGAGCAGGGAATGCTTATTGATATTACCTGCTTCTGACCAGTGGAGGAATCTGCCTCCAGCTCAGATCCCAACCATATAGTTCTCTATCTAACAAGTTTTTTATTTTACTCTTTTCCATTCCTTCACTGCGGCAGAGAACAAAAAGGACCAAATGAAGCTGATAAAGTGCAAACACGCATCATTACACTAGAGTTAATGGACAAATTAGTGTTTTGCTACCTGCGAGTGGAGATGAAGTGCCTTAGCAATACCACCAGTAAAAACTGGGTCTAAAGGACTCTTAATGCAAGTGGGTCAGCAAAGGTTAAAAGATTTTCTTCAGTAGTAATATAGGTCCTGACCCAAAGATGCAAGATCCTAACATGGCCAACTGTAGGATAAGAACAGCATGGCATTCACGGAAGGGGATTGGGGCGCCTGAAAAGCACCCATGCCAGAGCAGAACAGATTATTCTTTTAACTACACTGGCAAAGGGTTTGCAACTGTCCTAAGTGAGGAGGAACTGGAAATTGTGAGGAGGATCCCAGTGTATTTCCTTGTAGCTTGTCACATATATTTGTTTAGTGTAGCATGAAACTACATACACACCTCTCTCTACACTGTGTGAATTCAGTTTATCATTTGTTGGCTTCTTAAAATCCCAAATTAAAAATCTATCCAATTGACTGATGAACGTAGAATTCAGAGTGGACAAAATTAAGAAAGGCTTTTCTATTCAGATGTTTAACACATTACACTTCTCCAGAACAAATGGCTCCTGGCTAGGTGGTAGAATTATTATGACATAAGAACACCCAACTGGCTATTAAATTTGTTTATTTTTACCTCATTATGACATCATATATAAAGCAGCCAATCATCTCTTTCCTTTTTTCTTTCTTTTACTCCTTTCTCTTTTTCTTAACAATTCAGTTTAATAAATGCCTATAGAAGGCCTAGAATGTACCAGTTGCTGTATTGAGGATATAAAGCTAAACAAGCCTCTGTCCTTTTATTTTTTTTAATATGCTCACAAACAGGAGTATAATACAGTGTGATGATTGCAACAGTATCAACATGTCCAAAAGCTGAAGAGAGTGATGAGCTCTGGGGGTTTGGGAGAGCTGAAAGATTTTTGTCAATTTGAGCTGGGTTTAAACTTTTTAAAGGGCAACTGTACAGAAGCCCTTGTTTAATTCCTGGAGGCTAGTTATGTTATTCTAACAAGCCTGCAAAATAAATTGTCCTTGAAAAAGATACTCGGTTTTTGGTGACTGGCTAATGCTCTCAGAATCAGCTTGACCCAAACTGAACTGTGAACCAAAAATTGAAAAAAAGGGCATGATCCGCTCAATCTGAACCATAACCTGTGTATTAAGAAACCAAACAAATCAAAGAATAGCACTGAAGAATCTCAGAACTGCAACAGATCTTAGAGCTCATCTAGTCCATGTTTTTCATTATATAGATGGAAAAAATGATGTTAGGAGTGATTAAAGACTTACGTGAAGTCATGAGAAACCACTAATCAGCAGTGTGAGATAAAGGAAGATTGTCCACATTCCAAGTTTAATATTCTTTCACCTTCTTCAAGAAACCTGCTAGTGTACCACAAAAGAAAGGTCTTTTATCTTTTCTCTTCAGATAATTGTTTAATTGATAATATCATAAAATGATCATATTGTGACAAAATTAGACCATCAAAATATTCTCCAAATAGAACCTTTATGTATCTGATATTTTCTTTTATTACACACAAAAAAATAGGCTTTTAAAATAGAACCCCAACCTTGTGGACTGCATGTTTATAACTTGAATCATGTGGATTCTTCCTTAATCAGCATTTACACTGCAATTTCTAGCTTTCAGACTGATTGCTATCCAGCACCCAACAAAGGTTCTGCAAAGGGGATCATCATTAAGGGCACTTATGATGATCTCCACTTATTCTTACAGGCATCAGAGTTTTAAGATTCTATCAAGTAACCACCAGAGATCCAAGAAATGGGGTGTCAGTTGCTTGGCTTTCTCTTTCTGATATATTCTAGTGTTAACCCCTTGGCATTGATTAAAGGTGACTGCAAGAAACAGTCATATCAAGATTGTTTCTACATTTTGTTTCTACAGTCTACATAAAAAAGGGGGAGTTATTAAAGACACTTTTATCTGTGTTGTTTTATACTCTTTGAAAAACGATAAACATATTTTAGAATTGGTATCAGAAAAATGAGTTTCCTTTCAAAGAACTGTTCTGTGTACTTTTAAAAATCAAATAATAAATAATCACAAAACTAATTTTCCTTTCTGCCTCGGCTTCCACAAAGTCCAGATTACATGTTAAATGAGGCTCCATCTTAGTACAGAGGCTTAAATTTGGAGCATATTTTCTTACTCCATTCAAAAATATTTCTAATCTAACAGTGATATTTTCTACAAGTCTTCTACTCTAAGCCACCTCTCCTTTTATGGAAGTATTGGTGGGGGAGTAAATAATTAATAAATACATAAAATATTTCCTTTGTTTTGAGTCATTGAGGGTTATATTTCTTTATTATTAATAAACACACAGTTTCTGCTATTCACAACACATACTCCAGAGTTCTAGGGAAATCAAAAGGTATATGAAATGACTGCAGGCCTTGAGGGTCTTGAATCTAGTGGTAGGGCTAGAGTTTAGGTAGAGAATAAATAACATGATGCAGCATAGTCTAATAGTCTAAGGTGATTTTAAAGATGCAGTCTACACTAAGAATCTGTGATTTTATTAAATTAATAATATGGACATTTGGTCAAAATATATTCTGTTTCAAGTTAGCTTAAATATTGATATTTTGGCTAACATATTTCTGAGTGTGGTAAAGTTTGTGGGCAACATTGCTTTGTAATAAGTTTTCATAAAACTTATTTTTACCATTTTTATGGTAAAAATTTTGAAAATCACAAAAGTATAAAGAAGCAAATTGAAATCAACCATAATCAAACCTTGTGTTAATATTGCACAATCTAACACAATATATTTAACTTGATGTCCTGCTTTTTTCATTTAACATTACATAGTGAGAGTTCTTAGATCTAGATATTCTTTAATAACAAGGTTTCTATTGTACGTTTCATTGGATGATTTGCTCAGCCATTACTGTATTGTTGTAGACTTGGATCATTTCCAATCTAGTTTTCTCTATTAAATATAATGCTGTCATCAACATTTATAGTAAAATGACCACAGGATTATGAGGCACTTACTACAGTATATGCTAAGTAATTTACATGATTATTGTTTCTAGTGTCATAATAATCCTGTGAAATAAGAATTAATGTCTTTTGTTTACAGATGATATTACCAAGGACTAGAGATTAAAGTACCCATAGGTAGGAAGAAGATTTAATCCCTAATCTAACATAAGTAAATATTCCAACTTGTTTTTAAGAATAAGTAAATAGGATTATTCAAAGATTCCAATTGCCTATTGAAATGTGCAATTATTGGCTCCAAATTAAGAAAGTTGTGATATTTTTATCCATTCCTTTCCTATCTCTCTCTCTATATATATTTGCTATTTTTTTAAAGGAAGAAAGTAATGAACATTTAGTAGGATTTTTCTGAAGGGAAGGCTTGTTTTTACTTTAGTAATTATTATTCTCCTATGATAAAGTAATATGTTATGTACCCTTCTAGTCATTATTTTTCTTTTCTTTTTATTGAGTCATAATTGATACAAAACATATTAATTTCAGATGTACAACGTTGTGATTTTAGATTTGTATATATTGTGAAATGATCAACACATACATCTAGTTAACATCTATCACCACACAGTTACAATTTTTTTTCTTGTGATGAGAATTTACATAGTCCTGATTTTGTGGTCCACAGAAAACAGTAGGAATACAAGCTGCACAAATAAGCCTCATTGGTATTAGAAGACAGTAAAGCCACTGTAATTAGGAGAAATAAAAAAAAAAGAGGTGGTGAAAATTCTGAATTTTACCATACTTGGACATATGCAATGTTCATATATATTCAAGTACCTAGAAAATAGAACTAAATTAAAGTAGCTGAGGCCCTGCTCCATCCCCACTGTTTCAACGAATAGACAAGGATGATTTGCAGTCAGCACTGTCACTTGATGGCGTATAAAATAAGGGCTTCTAAAGTGCTTGATGATAGTTGAAATGGTTTCATTTCTTAAATGGTTCAAGCTATCACTGTGGCTTAATCCATCCTTTTAAAATAGTGCCAAACAGAGTCTGAACTAAGTCTCAATTTGACAATTCAAAACTAAACGAAACTTTACAGCGCTCAATGATTCTAAAAATACACCATATCTTGTCTAAATCTGAGGGATTAACTTTAATTTGTGAACATTCTGGAGCTAAAATCTTTTTACCTGGGCACGCACCAAACCCTACACGCTACAAATGAAGAATTAAAGACCTGAGAAATGAAAGAATAAAGGAAGGAGCCAAACAGGTGCCACCTAAGAGCCTAACGAAAAGCCTCCACGGAGAAACAATCTAAGCTTTTCTAGACCAGAAGCCTCTGGCTGCCTCTGGCTGCCTCTGGTCACAGAGCGCTCCAGTCTCGGTTCATCAGGGGCTCACGCAGAGGTCACCTGCTGTCTAGGGTCCCCCAGCCCCCGGCCCGACGAGAGTCCCAGCGGCATCCGGCGGCCTCGCCTTCGGCCAGGAGCACCAGCAGCTGCAGCAGGAGGAAGAGGAGCACCAGCAGGATCAGTAGCAGCCACCCGGCGCACCCGGGAAGGACCCGGGACCCCCGGAGATGCAGGGGCGGCTGGGGGAGCAGATGTATGGGGGGGTGCAACGGGGGCTGGGCGGCGACCGGGCGTTGCCACCACGTGGACCTGCGCGTCCCTAGCAGCTGCCCGCCCACGTCAAGGTTTGTTTAATAATCGCAGGGGTATTTACGGCTGCTGCGCCCGGAAGCAGCCGGGAAGCCGGGAGACCGCGCTGGGCAGCGGATGAGGCTCGGCGGCTGTGGCTCAGGGCACCTCCCCACTGGCTTCCCGAATCCTGCCCGGTGCGACCCGAGGGGGACGATGGAAAAACCAGCCGCGCTCTGAGCCCCTCAGGAAGATAACACCCTTCCTGCCTTAACACCCCATCGTCCTGCGGAGACCACACCTCGTCCCCTCCACGTCTCCATCTCCGAGAGCGGGGCCGAGCTGAAAAGCGAGGGATGGCTGACAACCTGAAGAAACTGGTCTGTAACGAATCGTTACGAGCCATGCACGATAAACTGGAGTGCTGGCTGAGGGAGTACAACGTGAGTTAGGGTGGGAGACCCCTGGGGCTCACCCTCCCTCTAGTAGCTTGCACAGCCCTGGGCTGGGTTTCGTAGGGCTGGCGTCGGGGTGGCCGCTTTGCAAAGCCCCGGCGGCTGTGATTCCGAACCGGCACCCAGCCTCAGACAGGGATCGCCAAGGAAGGAAGGGCCGGTGCCTTTTCTCCCCGAGGCACGAGGTGGCGCTGGGGTGGCGCGGCCGGGAGCGCAGGGCGCGGAGTCCAGCCAGAGTGCGCTCCTCCCCGCGGGGTCCAAGGACGCCCGCGGCCCGGGCCAAGGGCCTCGGGTCTGGTCAAGCCTGCCACTCTCCCTCCTCTCTCACACCCCCTCCGCTCCGCCTGCAGTCCACCTCCCTACTCCCAACTCGAATTACTTTCTACTACACCCCTCTTCCTGTCTCCTGTCCTCCCACTCCGAAGATACCCAGGGGCTGTACCGGAATGGATTTTTATAAAAATACACGCGGGAGTTACTACCCAGAGGTCAGTGAAATGGACACTTGTCAACGTAGCGGATTTCTCTGGGTGCTGCTCAGCATGGCAAGTAAGGCACAATTTCAGCACCGGGGCAGGTTCCAGAAGGCCTGTTGCCAGGGCATCTGTAAGAAGCCAGCATTCTTTCACCAAACCCAAGAGCCATCTTCAAAACAGCATTCATCCCCACCCTCACTCTGTTATCACCCTCGCTAGAACTCGAGTGCTGAATTTGCTTTACAACATTTCCGTCCGCATTCAGTAGTAGAGGCCCACTCTCTTAACACAAGTGGAATGGTGAGACAGAAATTGCCCGGGACTTAGGGACCTGGAATCAGCCCCCTAGGTTCTAGGTCTGGCTCCGCCTAGAACTAGCTGCATGACTTGGGGCGATTTATTTAACCTCTCTAAGTACCTCATCTGGTAAATGAGAGAGATTCGACCAGATGATATGTAAAGTTCTTTTTTGAATCTCAATTTTTTGAGTCTAGATCAGCTTGTTTCTGAAATCCTACCAGGAAAAATCCAACTGGCTGCTGTCCTGAGTCTCTGAGCTTCTCCTTCACCCTTTAACCAGGGCTTCTGGGGTAGAAGGGAGCTCAAAGGACACCTATAGCTTTCTCTCTGTCCCTCTTGCCAGTGTTTAGTGTTTACTGCCTTTGCCCACTTTGAAAGAACCAGCACTGGGACTATTCCTTCTCCATCGAGGTTGTAGAATAATTAAAATTTAGCTCTTTATCACAGAAGCCTTGGGTTCCCCCAGCTCCCACTTTTAAAAGTGCCTACTTGCTACCTCATCCCGGAAGGTTGAAAATAACAACCTTCAGGTCTGGTCTTCATCCATGTATTCATCCTTCCTAAAACTATTTCTTAGGACGTTTTTTGTTATTGTCATGTGGCCTAAAATAAACTCTGAATGTTAAAATGCATATTCAATTTGTCTGAAGACAACGTTTAACACAAATGACACTACCATTTGGCTGGACCAAATTAAACGATTGTTTAAACGCCAAAGTTCGTTAACACTTCCCTTTCTGAGTAACATTGGTCCATCCCAGTCCTCTGTTCTCATGGAAACCATTTCAATCTAGATTCTCTCCTGCATTCCAACCTCTGTGCCTGCCTCCCCACCCCCACCCCTTGGTAAGGACTGCACTCTCAGAGACCAGGTCCTTTCCAAATGTACTCCTGAGCACCTCTGTCACAGGTGACTGTTGACACTCCCATTCTTCTAAGGTTGTGATAAGTTGTCATTTGTCACCTTGCCTTACCCACTTCCCTCTTGTAGCTGTTTCTTAAGGACCAGTCTTTAGGAATCTTCTGAAGATTATGACCTCACTTCTGCTTCATCTCTTACATGTATGCCAGTGAGTATCTGTATTCAGGGCCTGTTCTCATCTGAACTCTACTTTTCCTATTGCCCATTAGGCATTTCAGCTCGCTGTTGCCATCTCAAAATCAGGTCAGTCTAAAACCTACCTTAGCCTCTCCTATACCGCAAACACTGGTTTCTCTCCTAACTTGTTTTATCATGACACACTCCACTTTTTCACCAGCATAATCTGTTTGGTAACAACCTAAAAATTCACATAGAACCTAAATACTCTTCACCACTTCTGCTGTTAACACCTTATCCATCTTTGATCATCTTTCATTTGGATTATTACAAAAATAACTCAAAGTAATTATTCTAAATGTCTGGTCAGTTCTAGTTACTCCTTTGGTAAAACTCTCCAAACTTCCTAACTCAGAATAGCTCTTACACAATTGTGCTACTTTAAACTTTGTGACCTCATCCATTACTTTGACCCTTACCGAATCCTTTTTAGCAATACTGGCCTACTTGCTTTTTCTAGGGCAAAGGTGTCCAATAGAACTTTCTATGATGATGAACATGTTCTAGATCTGCACTAATATGGTGGCTGTTTGGCACTTGAAATGTGGCAAATACCAATTGAGGAACTGAATTTTAACTTTTATTTAAATGTATTTAAATTTATTTAAATTCAAATAGTCACATTTGGCCAGTGGCTACTGTAGGGAACAGAACAGTTCTAGAACATGCCAGCCATGCCTGCTTCATTGCATTTCGCTATGCCACTCTGCCTGGAAGGCTTTTCACCTGCTGATATTTCAGCAAGATACCAACATCTTTACTTTCTTGCCTCCTTCAAATCTTTGCTTAAGCGTCACCTTCTCAGTCAACCATCCTACTTACAACTGCAGGCTTGTACCCTCACCTGACACTCACTGTGTCCTTTCTCTGCTCTATTTTTTCCACAATAGCTACACCTTGTAATTTTTACTTATTCACTCTTTCACTTTCTTTATTCAGTCTTTTCTTGCACCTCCTCCCTCTAAAATGTAAGCTCCAGAGGGCAGAGATTTCTCCCTTTTACTGCTCGTCACCCAGCACTTATACTAATGCTTGTCTCTCACTAGTTGCTTAATAAATAATGACTGATTGTATGCCACCACCATTCTCCCAGACACTCAGTTTCTTGGGCTCATTTATTTTCTTAAAACATCATATCCAGTGTAGAATTAAAAACGATCCTCTAATTCAGCCTTTATTAAAATTGAATTAAAACCAGAAATCATGATTTCCAATTAGGGGCACAAGTGAGAGGATGCAAGTGATTTTTTAAAACAGTTTTGTTTGTTTGTTCATTTGTGTTTTGTAGCTTAAGAGAAAGGATGAGAAAATATCTACATATCACCTTCCAGAAGTTAGGTTACACCCAGACTTGTTCAGTATCTTGTCATCTACACTTTGGGTCCTGGTCACTTGCTAAGAGCTTTCCTGAAACACTGCAAGGTTGCTTTACCAGTTCCAAGGACTTCTGCCTTGAGCACCTTAAGATGAAGAATATTCATAGCAGCGAACTTCATTTGTTAAGTGTTGGTTATAGAGAACTGTGTTTGTTCATTTAAAGACTTTAAATTATGTTTGCTGTGGCAGGTTGATATTGCTGTGACCACATTGATTTAGTTCTGATTAACTCAAGCAAAATAAAAGACGATATATACTCTTCTAGAATTAAGAAAATGATTAAAGTTATTTCCTGGGAAAGAGTTATTTTCAAGTGAAAGAGATGAATGACTTGAACAGATTAATTCTAAAACACAATGCAAAATTTTGATGTTTCTGCAAACCAGCCATTATTTGGACTAACACACTGTATTTACTTTTTCTTCATATAGTTTCCTTCCTATCCATTCCCATCTCCTCTGCCTTAATTTGGTCCTCACTACTGTCTCATGAATAGCCTATTTCGTTATGTCCTATATATGTTGTCAGAGGCAGTAAATTCTTTAAAAATGTAATTTTCTCCCTGAAAGTCTTTTCTAAAAAATTTGTTGGCTTGTTTTTAATCTTACTATACCTAGCAATTTTCTGGGCCCTAGGCAAAACTACTACTTATTTGATTTTTTTTGAATGTTTATTTATTTATTTTTATTAAGGTATCATTGATATACAATCTTATGAAGATTTCACATGAACAACATTGTGGTTACAACATTCACCCATATTATTAAGTCCCCCCAACACACACCTCATTGCAGTCATTGTCCATGAGTGTAGTTAAGATGTGATAGAGTCACTATTTGTCTTCTCCATGCTATACTGCCTTCCCTGTGACCCCCCTACTTTATGTATGCTAATCATAATGCCTCTTATTCCCCTTCTCCCTCCCACCCCACCCACCCTTCCCCACTCCTCCCCTTTGATAACCGCTAGTCCCTTCTTAGAGTCTGTGAGTCTGCTGCTGTTTTGTTCCTTCAGTTTTGTTTTGTTGTTATACTCCACAAATGAGGGAAATCATTTGGTACTTGTCTTTTCCTGCCTGCCTTATTTCACCTTACTTGATTTTTTAAAAGCTTACTTAAAATTTATTTTAAAGAATTCCAAGAAGGAGTATTTTTCAAACTCCCTCTGAAGCAAATCATAAGAACAACAGCAAACATTGCTGCCTTGTGATTTTTTAGGTATTAAGGAGGTGCTGAAATACTGCATTACTTGGCCTTTTAAACTTGAATTCCACTGGTTGTTCAGGGACACCTTGGTGTGGACACAAAACTTTCAGAATTGGTTTCCTCCTTTGTTGTTATTGAGAAGGATGGTGAAAGAGTCATAGAAAATCTCTTCTTGTTCAAGAACTGAGCCAGTTAATAAAAGCTTAACAATTCATTCAGCAAGTGATTACTTATCTTGTGCTATATGTGAAGGTTTGGGTTAGACACTCTATATTTACACTTTTTGCAGTGTACATTTATTCATTAATTTATTCATTCAACAAATATTTTTTCAGAGCTTATGGTGTGTCTATGTTAGGTGCTGGAAATAGAAATGTCAGCTGGATCTTAATGATGAATTTCCAATTGGAGAAGAGGATAAAGGATAGAGGAAACAGCTTGTGCAAAAAGCAGGGAGGTGTGAGAAAGGTGGCATATTTGGGCCTGTGAATGTTAGTTCAAGGCAGAGAGTGAATGTGAGATGAGGCTTCG